CCCGTGAGGACATTGAACCAGACGACATTTGACGCAATATTGGGCTGGCGTTGAAAAGGATATGCCTTTTTGGCATTTTGCACTCTGCTTCACTAGTTCTGGTTTACAAATCTCACTCTGGTGAAACCTGTCAACTCGAGAAGAGGCTGTCTAGATGGGTCGACACGTCGATGGGAAGTCGTTAAAGTGCAAAATGCCCCCCCCCCCCGTCGCCAAACAGCGCCCAATTACGTATGAGGTCAAGGAAGTGAGTGGTGAACCACTACATCTGGGAAAAGTGTGATGAAAGGAGAAAATTCCTTGCAGACAATTTGTTAAATTAACTTCTTTCTGCGAGTATGACCTTGTCACGTTAAGTTACATTTATATTCACAGGCATGCATATTTTCATAGAAGTGGAATGGAGCACACTTCTGTGATTCGTGCGCATGCGCTACCCTATGATTCGTAGATTGAATAGCATTGTACGCTGAATCTTCAGATGAAGAAGATGAAACAGACCGAAATTTCTGGTGATCCCCGGCAGAAAACCGAGCTTGCTCGTGAGTTGTACAGAGAAGGCAAAGTTGCCGAGACTCTGGAAACAACAACTATGATAATGGAGGAGCATGGTCTTTACATGGTACGTTTATTTTTCATCTAAAAATTTGACTGTTTCTTGGACCACACTCAAGATTTTGAGACCTTTTGCGTTGCTTTTGATATACACGGGGCTTGTCCAGCTGTTTTCAGCTGGACGAGCCCTGTGTATGCCAACACATAACGGCGATATTTGTCCTTCAATGCCCCCCCCCCCCACCATGCTGGAATTCTTGGAGACTTCCCACCAAAATTTTTATCGGGGGTATGGATTTCGACATAAGGCAAGCTGAAAACGTAAATCGTTTCTGCCGTGCGCGAAAAAGCGGGTCACCCTGAGTTGTTAGAGCTGAAGAGAATTCGGGAGTGCTTTTTCCTCCACTGCCCCATACCCCGTCATCCGCGATGTAATTATCTGTTTCTGATCGTGAATTGCGCGAGCTGCAAGAGTCATGAGCATTGAAGGCACCCTTACCTTCTACTGCAACAAGGGGGTATAAACTGTACTCATGAGTTGACTGCCACCTGTGAATTTTCTCGTCACAACATGATTCGATTATTTCTTAGAATATCATGAAATGTATGTCAGGACTGTATTATACTGCACGCGAACTGTCTTTGCTATTTCCAAGACTGGAAGAAATTATTTTTGCTTGCTCATGAATTGGTGTTTTCTTTTCCTGACCACCATTATAGCTGGTAAGTAATTCCAACAACTTTTCTTCAATTACGTCGTATCTTGGTTTGATCTGTTGTTAAGGTATGTGGTTGCTGCGTACTACTTTACGTGTAACAACATCCCTGCTGCGAAGAATTTCATAAGTGGGTGATGTGGTAATGAAAGGCATTCCAGTGCTAACACGTACTTTTCAGACAAATCGGCGTTGATGAGAACAGCTTTCGGTGAGGCTTGGATTGCCTATGGTCATATCCTAGCGGCGGAATCCGAGAACGAACAAGCCCTGAATTGTTACTATCGGGTTTGGTCGCGCAAACTTTTGTAATATGACCTTCGTTTTTATTCGTTCTCATTTACAGGCCGCGCGAATCTTACCTTGGCATTACGAACCAAAGATGTACATAGGAATGCAATATTGCAGAGTCGGGGTGAGGATGGCTGAGGAGTTTCTTCGTGAAGCTTCTTGTATCAGGTCATGTGATCCAGTCATAATGCATGAGCGTGGATCTTACTACTATCGCTATGGCAAATTCCATAGTAAGTATTTGATTCGCAGTCATTGTTTCACTTCAACATTTCGTACTGTCCAAAATTCTCACAGAATGAGTATGTCGCGTCAGCACCCCATTGATCTAGACCCTATTTTTACTTTAACGTTGTCGGAGCCGCTCTTTCTCGTTTCTTGCCTATGAAATGCTGACTGACCACAATCTTTTCTTGAAATATTGATCACTATCATGAATATCATAGGGCCGGGGGGTGGTCTTTGCACATTCCCTAGTTTCTTTTTCTAGTTCATGTTAACAACAGGTCTTACTTTGGTGTGACCTGTAATCTCTTGTAAAGCTGCTAAATGGTACGAATGAACCACCTTAGCCGTAGAACTTTGCATAGCTTCCCCACTGTGGCTTGTACGGTGCCCCTTCAGAAGGAACTGTACCTTCAATGGTTTTGGGAGTGTGCATAGTTGAAGTTTTAATAGCATGCGCGCATGCAAATTAGCGTTTGTTCAAAAATTGGTTCTTGCTTGGAAAAAAGCATCTTAGGGTGAATAGGCGCTGATAAACGCTTTAATATTGCGCCTGTAGCCTTCTTTACCATCATCTTTGTTTTGCAGCAGCTGAGCAGTTCTTCCAGAACGCTTTGTTGGCAGTCCTTGGGACTGATTCAGAAGATGCTGAGTTTTTGGATTCAAGTGCCATACTCAACGAGTATGTTTTTGTTGTCGCTATTTCTACGAAGTGTATTTCCACGCTTTTTTATGATCTGTAGTAGAATTCAGGCAGATTGATCCGTTTTGGCAACCTCTCATAGCCAGTTTGGGACATGTATCTCGAAGACTTGGCAAGTACAAAGAATCTATCAATTTTCATAGGTTAGTTCAACAAAAATGCAACTTGATCTTTTATTTGTCGCTATTTGAATCTTTTGTGGTTATTAAGATAAACAGCTTTGTGAAAAGAAAATTGCATGTAATATTTATTTGTGGGCTCTGAACTTGATTAGGACAAGCACCATTGCGGGATTCACCGCTATGCTATCCGTTTGAGGGTGGGAGGGGTAGGGTCGTATGTGGTGATGTCAGTAGTGAACACAGGCAAAGTTTGTGGATATGGAGGAGGTTTATGGTTTGGAGCGCATTGTCTCTAGGACATGAATCGAGATTCCCTCCTACATGGCCCCCTTTTACGTCCGAACACAACATTATCGGACTATCCGTCCTCTAAAAGGCAATCGCCCTCTTGGAACTCTGAGCTCTGAAGGCGGCTGAGACCTCGTTTGACCACTTCCCATAGAAAGCTTTCTAAACATCCTAGGGCTTAGGCAGAGAGTAGTAGATTTTGTTGGAGGTACTTATGTCGTTATTATTAGGTTGTCCGGAAAGTTCTCAGCGTTTTGAGTGTTTCACTTTAAACGATCATAACTTTCTTAATACTCATCGGATTCAATCGAAATAAGCACCATTCGAATCAGCACACTTTTGCCAATGTGACACCAGTCGAGAAATCCCATCAAAGGAAAAAACTGGGTGGTCGAGAATCCGAAATCCACGAAGGCTTTTTTGCCTGGTCCTGATTGATGAAGTATTTTCCAGCAAGGAAGTTCTGAAAATGTTTGAAAAGGTGATAGTCGGTTGGTGAAAGGTCTGGAGAATATGGCGGGTGAGGTAGAACTTCAACCCCAATTCGTTCAATTTATGGATAGTGATTTGTGAAACGTGTGGGCGGGCGTTGTCATGCAAAAGAATCGGACCCTTCTGTTGACAAGTGCTGGCTGCAGCTGACGCAATTTTCGGTACATTTCGTCGATTTCTTCACAGTAGGACTCTGCTGTGATGGTTTGGCCTGGTGACAAAAAGTTATAGTGGATCACACCAGCCGATGACCACCACACTGTGACCATAACCTTTTTTCGTGAGGATTCGGCTTTGGAAATTGCCTCAGGGGTCCGCCGGCATCCAACCACTGTCCGAAACG